AAAACAGCATCACGTAGGAGTACTATTCATCATAAACTTGTTGTGTCATCCGTCTTGGTGCTGTAAGCCTGTAAGAGCATGGTATGAGGAAATGGGTTAGTAATAGCCTAATCGATCATAGCGATTCAAAGGTGGGTCCTAGTGAGGCCCATTTTTTCTAACCCTGGCGACAATCCAGCTCGGATGTCAACCATCCAGTCGTCAGTCGTCACCATTCACCATTCAAAGTTGGAATCAGGCCAACGCGCAGACCGTGGAAATGCGACACGCAGTGACGAAGAACACAGATACCGATCAACGGCTGGCAAAGCCATCCATGGCGGTGGGCCGGTGGCGCTGGGATGTGCCGCTCTAGTGCTGCCACCATGCAAGCAGAGCCACAGATTTTGCAATGGAAACTTGCAGGCAACTACAGAGTGATAGGCGGCAGCTCTCCTCAAAAAAGTGAAAACAGCCCAGGGGAGACTTGCCCACCAAGTATTAAAGAGAATATGAAATGAAATATTACTACTGCCTTTTCAATAACCGGAAGGGGACGTTTCTGGAGTTTGTAATAATTCTGAAAATACTCACAGTTTTGTTGGTGTGAGTTACTATTTTATTTTATTTTCCTAAAAGAGTCCTTATATATAGAACTCAAGTGATTCAAGTAGTCCAGCCACTCGTGCGATGTGGTGGCTAAAATCTCATAAATTTACAAGTGAGAACAAATCATGTGATTTGAGTGCCTTTCTCTGCTCGGATGGTATGATTGTTTAAATCACATGGTTTATATATATGATAGGAGTAAATCATGTGACTTCAAAGGACTCCATCACACGAATTAGACTAGCCAAGATAGACATAGGCCAATTTTATATAATCTTTAGTTATACAAATTCTACCTAGGAATTACACCAAAATGATCACCGTGACTTCAATGTGAGTATAGTGTAAATTCAGTATAAATTGATAGTAACTAAAATTGGGAGGTGTGGGAGGGAAGAATTCCACCTGAATCTTAGTTCCTTTCATGCATGCAATTTAGGAAGAAGAAAGAAAAAAAATGAAAGAAAAAAATCACGTCAACTGAGCTTGATGTATATATATAAAACTAAATAGATTTTATATACTGAAACAAAACAACATATGTAGATGACAAATAATCAAAGTAACAAAAATATAGAATTATTTTATGGATTGCAAAATAACAGAACTACTTAGCCCTTCAATTAACCAAACATATCAACATAGAAAAACAATCTCCCTGCCAGCAGATGATGGTCACGTTGTCAGCGTATGTAACATTCAGCATGATGATCGCTGGTTGGTTTTTAAATAAGCCCGGTTGGTCTTGGTTTTATGTGAGAGAAAAATATTGTACTGTATAATGATAAGCCTCGGCTGAAATCAACAAAGCGAACAGGGCTGATTGATACTGCCAGGTGTGGTGGCCCGCCCTGAAGCTCCCGCAGCGACACAATTAGGACTTATTTGCTTGCTGATCTAAGTTGGGGCTTGTTTGTTTACTGACCTAGAATATGCCTGGCCCAAGCAGCATTCTCAGGCATTGAGAGCGTGTTTGCATGCCGCCTTCCTGGGCTTGCCTTTGCCAGGCAGCGATCAGCCCCTGCACGATCGAAATCGAGCGCCTGGGGCGCTGCCTGGGAGGCAACATCAAACATGCCCTGAACCAATGGCTAAGGATGGATCAAGCTGCCTGTCCAGCAGCCCCAGGCCAGGGCAACAACCAAATACCCTTTGGTGCTGAGCCGCCGAGCGAAGGAAAAGAAAATCGCGTGGCCGAAACAAATAAATTACTCAAGCAATGTATAGCTTTAGTGTAAAAGGATTGTTCCCTACATGAGCGAAAATTTGCAGGTTTTCAAGGTCAATTCACATAACTTCTCAGGTTTGCTCCTTGTATTTTAAAAAAAAACAGGTGCAGTGGGCCACATATAGGGCATGTTCGGTAGCTTATATGCTATTTATGGCCAAAATAAGATGAAAGCAATAACCAGATAATACGTTTTTTTGCAACTTATTTCGCCCATGCTCGTTCCGTTCGATTCCTATTTTCTACTAACCGAGCACCATCAATTCCATAACCATGAGTGGATTCCTTAGCCCTGGCACTCTCAGGTCAACATCTGTGGGAGTCTAGGGCACCGTTTGGATGCCGAATTTTTTTTACGAAATGCTACTGTACCATTTTAGTTGTTATTTGACAAATAGTGTCCAATCATAGTCCAATTATGCTTAAAAGATTCTGAGTCTCGTTGATTTCATCTAAACTGTAATTAGTTTTATTTTTTATTATATTTAATGCTTCATACATACGTCAAAAGATTCGACGTGTGAAATCTCTTAAAAATTTAGCATTTTGAAGTGAAACTAAACATGCCCTAAAGTGACAGTATACAAACATCGTAAAGTGAGTTGGCCAGCGAGGCCTCGCCAGTTCGGTTCCTATTTTCTACTAATAATAATGCACTTCCGCTACCCAACACACAACGAGGCTTTCTTTGTCTTGTGCTTGTTCATTCTGCCCTGCCCGCTGGCCGCCACCCAAAAGAAACCATGTCCGTACGCATGGAAATTACTTGAAAATTTCGGAGACTAACGTGACGCCGGTTTTCTACACTCGCAAGCCATGGCCTCCTCCCTTTGGTGGACAACGCAGAGGCTACCCACATTTTTAGTACTAACTTGAGTACTTGACTGACTCATCAATCACTTCACAGTTCACACAACCAACCAACTGGTCCTGGCAACTGGCGTCCATAAAACCCAGCACAAGATCCTCCCGGCGGCATTTCGAGCAAGAGAACTGTCTGAAAGTTCAGCGAGAGAGAGGTGATCTGAGCACCGATCGGCGAGAGGCACGGTGAGGTCACCGGCCGGCCAGCCAGCCATGGCGACCTACGACAAGGCGATCGAGTCGTACAAAGAAGGCGGTGACGACGGCGGCGTCGCTGGCGGCGTCGGCGATGCTGGTGCGCGGCGTGGTGAACGAGCTGGTCCCCTACGAGGTGCGGGAGTTCCTCTTCTCCGGGCTGGGCTACCTGCGGTCGCGCATGTCATCGCAGCACACGGTGGTGATCGAGGAGACGGAAGGGTGGGCGAGCAACCAGCTGTACGACGCGGCGCGCACGTACCTGGCGACGCGGATCAACATCGACATGCAGCGCCTCCGCGTGAGCCGCGTCGACGAGGGCAAGAGCCTCATGTTCAGCATGGAGGAAGGCGAGGAGATGGCCGACGTCCACGACGGCGCCGAGTTCAGGTGGCGCCTCGTCTGCCGCGACGGCGCCGGAGCCGGCGGCGGCGGCGGCGGCGGCCACGCCCGCGGCGGGGGCGGCGGCGGCGGCAACTACCGCGTCGAGGTCCGCTCCTTCGAGATGAGCTTCCACAGGCGGCACAAGGAGAAGGCCATCGCGTCCTACCTCCCGCACATCCTCGCGGAGGCCAAGAAGATCAAGGACCAGGACAGGACGCTCAAGATCTACATGAACGAGGGCGAGTCCTGGTTCGCCATCGACCTCCACCACCCCTCCACCTTCACCACGCTCGCCATGGACCGCGAGATGAAGCGGTCGGTCATGGACGACCTCGAGAGGTTCGTCAGGAGGAAGGAGTACTACAAGCGGATCGGCAAGGCCTGGAAGCGCGGGTACCTGCTCTACGGCCCGCCTGGGACCGGCAAGTCCAGCCTCATTGCGGCCATGGCCAACTACCTCAAGTTTGACGTCTATGATCTCGAGCTGACCGAGGTGAACTGGAATTCCACGCTGCGGAGGCTGCTCATCGGGATGACCAACCGCTCCATCCTCGTCATCGAGGACATCGACTGCTCCGTCGATCTGCAGCAACGTGCAGCAGAGGAAGGTCAGGATGGTGGTACAAAATCCAGTCCTCCTCCTTCAGAGGACAAGGTAACAAACAAATCCTGCCCTGTCTTTTGGTTCCTTGACTAACTTTCTTTTGCCGTGCTCATGTGGCTTTAATTTGGGCAATTTGCAAAACAGGTGACACTATCTGGGCTGCTCAACTTCGTGGATGGCCTCTGGTCAACAAGTGGGGAGGAGAGGATCATTATCTTCACAACGAACTACAAGGAGCGGCTCGACCCAGCGCTTCTTCGGCCAGGCAGGATGGACATGCACATCCACATGGGGTACTGCTGCCCAGAGTCCTTCAGAATCCTGGCCTCCAACTACCACTCCATCACCGACCACGACACGTACCCTGAGATAGAAGCACTAATCAAGGAGGTGATGGTGACTCCAGCAGAGGTCGCGGAAGTGCTTATGAGGAACGACGACACCGACATCGCGCTCGAGGGCCTTATCCGGTTCCTCAAGGGAAAGAAGGGGTGATGCCAAGGACAGCCAAGGTGAAAACGTGGAGCATGTGACCAAAGAGGACGAGAAAGAGATGATGCCGACGAAAAAGATGACCCCCAGTCGATCAAAATCTCAATGATGCAGGCAAACAATGATGCCAAAGTAGTGTGCATATCAACTCCCCGTTCGTTTCTCTTATAATCCGCCTTTTTTCAAACTTTTTTTCGAATTGAAAATGATTTTTCTCACAACAAATCAAAGCGTAAATAAAGAGCTTTTGGCTTTTTTTTCAAAAGCGAACAGGACCAAAAATGTTAGTACCACATCAGTAGTGCCACAATAACCTGCTGAAAATGTATCGTTTTGATATTAATAAGAGGTCATTGTTTTGGAGCTGCAGAGTACTCTGGTATTATGATCCTCTGTTTCTTTCATAAAACCATATGTATCACACTGTATGTAAGTACATATAGGGTGTGTTTGGTTCACTTTCTCACCAAGCCTGGCTAGCAAAATAACCTAGCAAGCCTTAACCAATGCAACCAACACTTGTTTGGTTGGTCTGTTCTAGACAAGCCTGGCTTGGCAAGATCGTGTTTGGTTGCCAGACTAGTTCTGGTGCATTCACCGCTTCTTTGCTAAGGTGAGCTCACCTCCATCTTCTCTGGTTTGGCAATGGTGGGGAAGAAAGATTCGCTGGCGGTGGAAGCCGATTCGGCGGAGGAGGAGGCCGAATCAGCGGTGGAGGAGGCCGATTCGACGGCGGAGGAAGTAGATTCGGCGGCGTCTCTCCAGATCCCGCCCGAGGAGCACTGGCCCCTCACCCTTGCCCGTCTCCTGCAGATCCCGCCCGAGGACGCCGAGGAGCTAGCCGGCACGTGGATTGGATCCCGTGCGGATGCTAAGGAGCTGCGCGGTGGGGAGGCCTGGAGGTGACGCCCGCTACCGAGGGGCCTCGCGTGCACCGCCGCGGGCGCTTGGGGAGCCGCACGGGCGCCGCATGGATCCGCGCGAGAGCTCCTCCTCTTCGGACGCGGTGCTCCTCCTCCGGTGCAAGGTGAAGCCTGGGGCGGCGACGGCAGCGCTCCGCCGGGCACGACGAGGCGGCGACGCTCCACCGAGGCGGCATCCGAGCTCCTCGGTGACTCAACTGCGAGCACGGTGGGGAGGTGAAGCGACTGCGAGCGCGGTGGGTAGGTGGGCGGCGGCGGCGCTCCACTGGGGCGGCGTCCGAGCTCCTCGGTATCGCTGAGAGCGCGGTGGGGAGGTGACACGACTGGGAGCGCGGGCTTAGCAAAGGCTGGCTCCAGGAGAACGGTCGATCCTGGCGTTTCCGCGGAGCCTGGCTAAGAGGCCGATGTTGCATTAGCTAAGCCTGGCTTCAGGGTTCGACCAGGCAACCAAACAAGGCTTGGCTGCATCCAGCAAGCCTGGTTGGGTAACCAAACACACCCATAGGCCCTGTTGCATTCAGATGAGTATGTGCAGCAGCTTTAACGTGCCATTTTACATATAAACAATCAGTATTGTCAAAACCTGACTACAGGGCGTTTTGCACACCGACTCTGTTTCCCACAACAGATCAATCTTCAGAGTTGCTGTTCACAGCATTTTCTCCTTGTGCCTTGTTTTCTTCTCGTAGATCATATTCAACAACAAGACCAAGATTATCAACAAACTTGTGGTACACCTGGCACCCTGCACACTGTTTGTGCAGTGTATGTTAGTAGAACATAAATTTACAGCATGCGCAAGAAAACATCAATCATACAAATGTGAGGAGTAGGTCTCATAAAGTGATCCAAAATGAGCAAAGCAGTAGGTCTGGAGTTTGCACTTGCACATAAATAAAGGCGCGGAATAAAGTTTACCTGAAGAAAAACTGTCCCTCTTTCATAGGCTACTCTGTTTATCAAGCGTTTGGTCCTTTCACCACATGCATTGCATGTAAATTGAACAAGCAAGCTTCTTCTAGGAAGCTTTATATCAATAGTGGCTTCCTGGAACATCACACAAACAAAAGTTACATATAGGACATTTGCTTCCTGAAACATCACAAAAAAAAGTTACATATAGGATATTCTGGCATACAAACTATACTTCTGCTGTTTGCCGCTTCACTATTCAATCTGCCATTGAATTGAGCAGCACTTATTCATTTTCTGAACCTAGTTTGTTCCTCAATCAGCAAGAAAATTGTTACTTTGTTTTTCATGCAATAAACCGCTGAACTATATATAAACTGCAAGACCTTATCATATTATTTCTTTTTCATATTTTCACACATCACATATGTATGCTATCAACCTACCAAATTTGCAATATACAAAATGTTTGTCTTTTGAATGCCATAGTATGCAAGAAACCCAAGCAATGAAAGACCTACAAGAAATGTACACAAAGTACAATCTCAGTAAACAATTAGCAATTTCAAATGAACGGGCGTGTTCATATATACAGTTTACTAAGCCAATCAGCCAATGGACAAAGAAGACATGGTGCTAGAAACCCACAATTATTCTGACAATAGGAATCATTAAAGTTGATATAGAATAGCTAGCACCCTACATCAACATATCAGGCTGAATCTCATCAGTTATCCAATTTCAATAAATAGTGGTCCAAAAGCCCAAGCAATTACTGTTTCCCCGTCGCTGGTGGCTACCCAATCCAATCCATTCCCTAATCGCCTCCGCTAAATAATTCCAAGGAACATGGAGCATCCATAACCCAAACCAATTCACCCCTGACAATCTGGAAACATCATAGAGAGGAAGGGCAGAGAGTGCCTAACCGTTGGCGACGGCACCGCGTCCGAATTGGCCTCGTCGGAGGAGGAAGCAGAGACAACGAGCCTCCTTGGACGGTACGAAACTGCCAACCTGCGCGAAGAGAGACGAGCTTAGACACCCGCGAACCGAGCCGAGACGAGAAGAACGAGCTAGAACGGAGCGCACCGCGGTGCCGGCGCCCTGAACTTCGAGGAGGAAGCGGCAAGTGACACCCGAGGAGGAGGGGGAGGCTTCCGGCGGGTCGAGAAGATCCCCGGCCACAACGCGGAGGGCCGCAGCCCCGCCGAGCAGAAGCCGTACCCCGCGGCCGTCGTCGCCATAGCCGCCTACTCGGCTGCTCCTGCTTGGATTCGCTTGCCTGTCAGCGACGACCGAGGGGAAAGGAAGAGAAGAGCGAGGGTGAACCAGTAACTGGGCCGCCCACCGTACCCCAGGAAAGGCCCGTTTGACACACCTCCCCCCGCACCTGTTGGCTAGTTGAGAAAAAGTCCACGTTAACTCCTTTAATTTTCATAAAAATTCGTTTTTCCTCCCTGAACTCTAAAATCAGACAAAACACCTCCCTCAATTTTTATAACCATTCACCTTACCTTCCTGACCCTCTGTTATAAGCAGTTTTGAAGGCGGTTTTGTCTTTTTCTTTTTTATTTATTTCGGCTGAATGTTTGAAAAGTCACAGTAAGTCACAGAAAAATCATAAAATGAAAAATCTAATTTTGTTGGACTCACATGGTAGGTCTACACAATGAACATATAATCTGGTATATTTTAGTATAAAGTTTTTGTTGTGGCTTTAGATCTATGATTTTACTCGTAATTAATTAGAATAATTCATAGTTGTAGTTTTATGGTCTAATTGTGATGAATTTTATGGTGGGCTAATTATTGTATGATTGAACTGTAATAAAAATTTTATATTCACTGGATCATGTATAGCTTAGTTATAGATTTATTTATCTTTAACAAGCATAAACCTAAATAAAATCTATAACTAATTTATACATGATCCAACGAGTATGAAATTTTTACTACAAATTAAGCATACAATAATTAGCCCACCATAAAAAATTTTACCACAATTGGATCGTAGAAACTGCAGCTATGCATTATTCCATTTAATTACAGAAAAGCATAGATCTAAAGCTACAACAAAAACTTTGTACTGAAGCATACCATATTATATGTTCACTGTGTAGATCTACCCATGTGGAGTCCAACAAAATTGGATTTTCTATTTTATGATTTTCTTGTGATTTACTATGATTTTTCAAAGATTCAGCCGAAACAAATAAAAAAGAAAAAGACAAAACCGTCTTCAAAACCACTTATAACCGGACCAGAGAGGTAAGATGAACAGTTTTAAAATTTGATGGAGGTGTTTTGCCCGGTTTTGGAGTTCAGGGAGAAAAAACGGACTTTTGTGAAAATTGAAGGAGGTAATGCGGATTTTTTTTTTTTTGGCAGTTGGCTTTTGCCGCAGCCCGCAGCGGCCATTCGAATTGATTCTGCGTTTGGCCTCTCAGCCCCTCTCCTCTTGAGTTCCTCGTGGTTTTTAGTGGTTCTGCGTTTCTATCGTCCCGTGCAACGCGACGAGATTCTGGCCGTGATACATGTTCCGGTCGTGCCTGAGTCTGAGCTAGTGAGTCCGATGCTGACGGTGGTTTCCTTGCAGCTCATGCGCCAGCGCCACCGGGCTTGCCCGTGCCCTCTCCGGTCTCCGCCACTCTGATCGCACATTCGCACTCGTTGGCCATCTGCCGCCCCGTCCCCTGATCTGGGAAGAACCTCCTCGCGTAATTATGCATCTGATTCACCATTCACGTACCCAGCAGTGCTGCATTTCTAGTCCAACAAACCACACCAGAAATACCAAGTTTTGTACTCTATAAATTTATGGCATCAAAGCCTTATTCTGAATCTCTATCTACTCTTTTAGTTTTATATGGACAGCTCTGGATGCATTTGGAGTTGTGGGGAGTAAAAAAAATGACCTACTCTGTACCAGGCTACCAGCCATGGAAACATTTGGAATTTAGCATTACAACGTATGCTCTCTTCTGTAGTCCTCACTAATAACACTGTTGCGATGTGTAGCAGCGTGAACACAGGGGAGCTGCAAGGAACGTACGAAAAATTCCAAGCCTCACCACCTTTGGCAGCTGTAATAGAAGATCAGAGCTTCTTCACCGTTTCTTCCACTGCACGTTCATAGTACCTCATTCTCTGTGTAGCTTCCACTGCACGGTCAAAATCCTTCTTGTCAAATGCCTTCTGGAAGGAATCAGACCAGGTTTCAAGCTTTTCCTTAATCTGGAAAAAAGGAATAGAAAAAACTATGATCCCAGAAATCATTTGAAACACTATCATGATCCCTGGTTATGGTAACTTTAGTCAGAGATCAGAACCTGAGATTGGATCTTCTCCAGGGTTTGAGAATCACTGGCATTGCTGACAGCTTCCCGTATCTCCATCATCTGCAAATGATTTATTATTGATTTATAGAGAACATCCTCATCTTCATTTCGTGCAAGTTAATGGGAAAAGATGTATAAAAAAATCATTTGTGTTGTTGCTGTATTCATCTCAATTCAGAGTTCATTCTTTTTTGTACTTTCCATAGATGTTTAACAAATTGAGGGTGTGTTCCAATCGTTTCAATGTTGTTCACAGTTATCAAAAGATATATGAAATTAGAAGGATGATTATATTTACTGCATGCCAACACATGTATTCCAAGATGAATGAAATTACCTCCGTAAGAAGTTCTGGATCATTGATAGTCTTGTCTTCATCGACATGTATCCCCTCGAGTTTCAACTGCCAAAAAGTTAGTACATATGAGATGCTTCCAAAGATGAGTATAATGCTTATGTTTATTCATAGTGGAGAAACTTCCGACACAGAAAATCAAAGGATGTAATTACCACATCACTACAAGCAACACACCCAGCACAAAGTTGTGATTATTTGTTACTCTGTACTTCTTTTCATGTACACATAGGTGAAGGGTCAACCAGACAACTTCAAAATACATTAAAACGAGATGAATCTAAGCATATGTGTTTCATTATTACACATCACTGAAATTTTTAAGCATTGCTGGATGAACTCACCAAGTACAATGCCCTTGATAAAGGTTTGCTGAGTGTGCGGTACGCATCAATCACAAGTGCTGACTGCTCCGCAGCATAGCCCCTCTCTTTCTAAATAATAAATATAAGCCATTCAGAAGTAATTTAGAGAGGTTAACATTAAATATGGGTATTTCTATGAATGCCAGATGGACAGAAACCTCAGATTTCGAGTGAACTAGGTCAGGATGTAACTTCTTCTGCCAGTCCTTGTACTTCCCTTCCAAGTTATTATCCTTTATATTATATTCTCTTTTTCTGAGGAAACCAACGAGAAAAAACATCAGCATCATATGTTCAGTGGCACAGAAACATTACAAGAAAGTAAAAATGGGAGAATCTTGAAACATGTTGAAGTTTCATTAGCTTTTAATAAGCGTAGAACTATTCTACATTGTAAACAAACATAAGTTTATGAACAAATCTCCAGATAAGTCAGTCAATAATTAACTAACTACGGTAGGAATATGGAAAAGATCATATTAATACTTAATAGCATGGAACTGACAAGGATAGAAACAATTGTGTCTAATTGCAAAAATGTTTGGCAAACTGATATTGTGTCACAAAAAGTACACATTAGAGGCAAAACTGCATACTCTGTTAACTCAGTAAAAGTAGACATGGATTGTCAAGTATATATGTTCAAATAATGGCCCAATTCCACACTTACAACAACCTTTCGTTTTGGAAACATACAGATTGCACATAAACTAAAAAGAATTGTCTTATCAAGGTCCTATAACTTAATAACATCACTTTCCAGATGATTCACAAGAGCTACAGCACAAATCAACCTGCCAAGAATGCCATATGGAGTATAAAGCAACAGACAAGGGTGTCACATTCTTAAGTAAACCCAATGGTAACTGACACTCCCCTCTGATTGAAAAAAAAGTTTTATGATCCTTGGCAGTTAAACATTTACACAATCAATAAATAAGCAATCGTGTGGATTGATGGCATAAGGTTAATGCTATTAGATTTATCATGGAAAATAACTGCATAGCTTTATTTAAAATGACAAGCTTAGGAATGTTATCAAAGGATCGTCTTATAGAGCATGTTGATATCATATACAACTTATATTTGGATTAGAGCGAATAGTTGATCAATCCTAGCCACACATGAGTGAAGTTCTAAGCATCCGTGTAATGAAACACTAATAAGACGCGTGTTTATCCTTCTTGTTTTTGGGTGTGAGTGGGTGTATGTGTTTTATGGGGTTCTGGTCTTCTGGATCCTTTCTTCATCGTGCTCAAGGGGGGGAAACAACACTAAATTTCATCCCTAATTTCGACTATTTTCACTGCAGAGCATAACAGGGCACACAAAAATACATAGAACAATAAGCTGCAATTCTGCAGCGCAAACACTACAGCTCCAGGATGCTAGTGTTACGATTGGCAAGTCCTCATTAATCAGCAAACAGAGACTTAAATTGCGAAGGCATCGCATCATTCAGCATCAAACCCAGAATTCGGAGTAAACCTATGAGCACCGAATCTGCAGCCGCAACGTAATTCAAAGGCTCGAGATTCCCGGAGCTACTCACAGGCCAAATATTTGGAAGTAGTCGACGGCGGGGTCGACGGGCTGCACGCTCCTGCAGGACCCGCAGGAGAGGAACGCGCCCGTCGCACCGCAGCTCCAGCACGCGCCGCCGCCGCCTGACTGGTTCGACAGGCTCCGGAAGGGAGCCCGACAGAAGCGGAACCCCACAAGATTCCAAGATTGTGCTGGGACAGGGGAGAGCAAGAGGCGGGGAGGATGAGGCGGGGGGGCATAGGAGGCAGCGGGCGTCGATTAACGCGGCAGCCGGCGGCGGCGGCTGCAGCGAGGTGGTGGCGGAGCGGCCCGGCTCCAGCGCGGCGCCACATGGTCTCTGGCGGTGCGGGTGCGGGTGCCGTGCGACCCAGGCAGATGCCCACGCGTCTTGGCGTGTTTGCATTGTGACTGGCGGGCAGATTCTCGTCAGGCAACGATCGTGACCCAGGCGGACGAAATCCTACGCCTGGATTGCTTGCCTGGCCAGGCGCTGCCTGGAAGGCGAATCCAAACAAGCCCACAGCTAGAAGAAAAATATTCCAAACTAGGGCAAATGCTCTCAAATTGTTTGAAAATCAACGGATTTTCAATAATGACTAGCGCATGACCAAGTTGATTGCATTTCCAAACAAACAAATTCTACACCAATAGAAAATTGGCTAGGCTGATTCGCCCGCTCAGCTGCGCGTATAGGGGGACGAAAAGATTGAACAGCACCAAACAGCAGTCGAAACCTGGAGAAGCAAAAAAAAAAAAAAAAGAACAGGGGCCGTATCCCGGAGGAGAAAAAAACGAAAAAAAAGCAAAAAAAGAAAAAAGAAAAGAAAAAGTGAATAGTAGCAGAAGGGCTGATGAGGCAGGGATTTATGCTTATGCAGCCGAAAAACATATCAAGTGTGGCTTTGCATCGTCAATCACCAAAGGAGTTATAATGTCCTTTCCAATAGATTGAGGATCATAGAATGACTCACTAAGTATATTGATCTACCGCCCATTAATATCTTTTAATTGAAGCGGAGAAGAAAAGACTGTTCTAAGTAACTCCAAGACTCTCCGTATATTTCTTAATTGTTAGGAATATAGATTTTGGTGAAAAAATATCTTCTAACCGCCTCTTTAATTGCTTATCTAAATATAGTCATTTTATATTCCGAATTTCTCGCTAGCAAAAGATAGAAAACGATAATACCTCTTTAGAGTGCAAACATGATATAGAAAAAATTATTAGAGAGTGGAAAAATATAAAAAATGGCTTTACGCAAATGACTCTCCAAATGATAATTTAAAGAGTGAGCTTTATAAACACTCTTAAAATGCTCTAAGCCAAAGAGTGGTTTAAAAAAATTATAACAAGACGGGTCCACCTATCATCCCATAGAGAGCACCGGCCATACGTTTGTATGACAAGTGGATACATATATCATGTGTTTTCTGTTTTAATACAGCTAAAATTAATTTTTAAAGGCATCTTTATTTTTATTTAAAGATGGTTGTATCTAAAGCTACCTCTACATATGCACTTATGGCGCCCCAACTAACGTGCCATCTCAGTTATTTTTATTTTATGGGAACCTAAATTATCAAAGTTATGTAATGGTTGTCACATGTGTACTCCATAAATTTTTGTACGACGCTGGTAGATTTCACGGTTTTGACGTTTTATAAGTCATCATCGAGTAGGTACCGTCTCGTGAAGTTGAATCAGCGCCCGACCAAAAGATTCAGCAATTACTCGACACTGTAAAATCAAAAGCGTTCCTTTGCGTGCAACTTGGATCCAGACGTGAATTGTTTCTGCCAATGTACTGCATTGCATGGATACATGCGGAAAATAATCTGACAATGGCTCCGTTTGGATCCTTTACCAAACCTCGTCTCTTCTTGCCCGGTGAGGAAATATAGAGGAACTGAGGGGATGTTTGGATGGTGCTTGGCAGGCAGCTGAAGAGCCAGGCAGCAATGCTGGCCCCATTCGGACGAAAATGGAGCCCTGGAATCAGTTGTCTGGCCAGACAAGTTCTTAGAGTGCAAACCAAATAAAACTCCCTGAGTGTTTGGTGGAGATGCAAGCTGTTTTGGAGCTTGTGCTAGCAAGCAAAATCTTCGTCACAGCTAGATAGCAACATTCAGCCTGTTCGGTTGACTGGTTCGTTTCGTTGCTGGTTCGTGAAGAAGTACTGCTGGCTGGTTTGTGTGAGAGAAAAATACTATTCTAGCTAAAAATTTACAATCATTTACGACAAGCCACAGCCAAACGAACAGGCTGATTATCATGCTCAGTCTACCAAGTTTCTTTTAGAGTCTGCGCTAGCGAGGCAAGTCTATGTGTGAAACCAAACACGTACCTTAATAATGGTGGGTCATTTTAATATTCTTTTTAGTTTTTTTATTTGATTTTTTCGTTAGCTTGTCCAAGTTTAACTGCAAAACTAACTCATACATATAAACTTTATTTTCTTCATAAAAGTCTTGTTGCAACACGTATGATATCTTTTATTTACTCTATAAATACATCATTTTATGTAATGGAAATGTTGTGTGCAGGGCGTGTGAACCAGCCCAATAGACCTTCCGCGTCCGTCCCTTGAGTTGCTCCTGTCGCCCACCTCGTTGGTCCGCGCGCTGCTCCTGCTCCGCCGTTCGCCCCGCTTGACCACACCGATAGGCGCCGCCAACGCAAGGAGCATCGATCAGGCCAGCCCTCCGACCTCGCCTCCTGCTACGGCTACGGCGCTTCTACAAAGACGGTGGAGAAGGCCGCACCGGGATACGATGCATGTTGCAAATGTACATTTCAAATGTTTAAGATGTTTTAGAGGTATGTTGCAAGTCTTTCATACGGATGTTGCAAAAGTAGATCATGATGTTGCATATATTGTAATGGTTGTACAAGTATGTTGCAAGAGTCTGTCTCCAAGGTTTCATCTATTTTTCAGACGTATGTTGCAAGTGTGTTTATCTGGATATTGCATATGTTTTACACATATGTTGTAAGTGTTTTATCTAGATGTTGCTTATGTTTGCAATGGTTTTCAAGTGTTTTGCAAGTGTGTCAGACGCATGTTTTAAGTGTTCCATCTGTCTTCAGACGTATGTTGCAAGAGTTGTATCTAGATGTTTCAAAAGTAGCTTAGGTGTTGCACACGGGATACGCGTGGGAAGCGGGAGAGAGCGCGAGCGGCCCCGCGGCACGGGCCCTGCGTGGGCACGAAAAGGAGGCGCGGGCGGGAAACAAGGGCTTGTTCGGCTGGTTATTAAAGCCTGCTGAGAAGCCAGCGGAAGCTGTTTTATTGTGAGAGAAAAATACTGTAGATTCTAACTGGTAAGCCGACTGATAAGTTCAAGCGAACATGCCCCAAATCGGCCTAGGCAATGGTACCGTCCGACTGATCAGTATCCGATCGCATGTTCGAACGCCAGTAATTCCGTTTATCATGTAATATAAATCATAACCGTATTTCAATACAAATCTAAAATAGCATCAATTTTAGATTACAAGAGTATAAAGACATTATTGGGAAAAGAGTCGAATGAATTAAAATACGCTAACACCCCATTTGGATGTATTGTGCCAGCCGAATGCCAGGCGTTTGGATATTCACGGAATCACGTTTTTGAAACCTGTCCCAATTCCAAGAGACCCGCGCGCTCAATACCAAGCTCCCGCCCTCGTTTTTGGCTGAAAACGCCGCCGCCCTACGTTCCCCTCTTTTTCAGCCGGTTCGCTGGTCGGCTTCAGCGTTATAATTAACCAGCACCCGCCGGTCTTAGTCCAGAACTTCTCGAGCAGCCGCCGCCCGCCGGAGACTGCGGCGGGTCGTCGGAGGGACCTCGACGGCGGCGAAGGTAACTCCACCATCTTCTTCGTGCCTGATCCAATCTTATATTCTCGATTTGTAGGGAATCTCTCCTTCCTCTCAATCCCTCCCATGGCGCCCCAATCCTCTCCCTCCAGTGGAGCCCCTTCCTCTGCTGAAAATCCCGCCCCACCTGCCTCCTCCCATGGTTGCGTCGCCTTCCCTCCCTACCTCTCTCCTATGGCGCCCCCTCCTACGCAGCATGTCCGCTCCTTTCGTCCCCCTCCCTCTGCGTTCCCTCCCCTCCCATGGCTCCCCCTCCTATACAGCAAACACATCTCTTATTCCCATCCACTACCCCTCTCCCATGGCTGCTCCCTTCCCCTCTTCCTCTCATGGATTTCCCTTTTCTCCCTCCTATGGTGGTTCTCCCTATTTTTATTAACCGTACAACATGAGCAAGGTCAAACTTGCTGATCATTTCTCTGATTCTGTAGGTGATTCACAGAGGGAGTAGTAGAATTCTGCAGTAATCAATCAAGCGAAGGTAAAGTTAAACATATCTAATTTTGGGTAATGTGTTCTCTTTTTGGCTCTACAACGTAGACATCCAAACGGAGCCGCTTTCCCGTTCAACATCGTGCTCCCCCTCTTTTTCGAGGAACCCCCGCGCGCGCTCTGTCTCTCTCTCACCCAGCCTCTTTGCCGTGGCCTTTATTCCAGGCTCTCAGCGGCTGGGACTGGGTGAGCGGCGACGCCGTCCTACGACAGTTGCCCAGGTCTTCGTCGGGCCCTTTGCCGGCGACGAGCCCCACCAGGTATGGTCACCCCTTCCATTCCCGTCCTGCTGTGGGAAACCGAGCACCCCCAAACCTAATTTAAGTTATTTGTATTCGGATCTAATCTAATTACAAGTGTATACATGTAATATACTGTTCCGAAGGAAAAGTAAACTCTGAATTTTTTGTCCAGGGTAGAATTTTCTGTAAACCACGAAATGGCTTTTGCCGCAAGGCTGAATCTGAGAATGCAGAAAGAGATTAAGCTCCTACTGGATGATCCACCCCATGGGGTTTCTCTTAATCTTTCTGAAGATGAAAATGTCTTATCATCATTATCAAGTATTGAAGCCAGTATGTCCTTTTATATTCTACTATTTTTTATTTACTTTTAATCGTCTCTCAATTTTCACTGCAACTTTGTATGCTGATCCCTACTCTTTAAATCAAGGAATTGAGGGCCCTGAGGGGACGGTTTATGCTAATGGAGTTTTCATTCTGAAGATACAAATTCCTGGAAGGTGCATCTTCTTTAGACATCAAAACCAAACACCTATGCCTCACTGAAAACGAGAGAACCTCATCTGTATCCCCTAATAATATCATTTCTGATATTCAAACTTTTGATGAGACACAGGTATCCTTTTCAACCACCCAATGTGACTTTTGTTACTCCCATTTATCATCCCAATATTGACAATGGAGGACGCATTTGCCTTGATATTCTGAATTTACCCCCAAAGGTAATCAATAGGAATTTTGCACATGCTCAATGATAGCTTAGAAATCTCAGAGATTCATATTCAGTTGAAATTTCAGAAACTCTTATTCGTAACCACAGCAGTCTTTGTCATTGATGATGATGTTATTGCACAGGGAGCCTGGCAACCGTCACTCAATATTGCTACTGTTTTGACAAGTATTGGCTTGCTGCTAAGTGATCCAAACCCGGATGATGGGTTGATGGCTGAAATAGTAAGAACATTTCAGTGACAGTTGCAGTATGATAGTGGTGTACTGATACATAATGCACTTAAGCTCATCATCCAACTATGTTTCTTTTTTTTTTTCTGAGACAGAGTCGAGAATACAAATACAACAGACAAGTTTTTGACATAAATGCTCGGTTATGGACAGAGAAGTATGCTAGTCCTGCTGCTGTTGGTGCTAGCGGTTGGGGTTCTGTAGATGCTGGTGTCCTGGTAAACAAGCATTGAAGTTTCATTTTGCTAACTTTGTGTTCCGACATTATAATATAAATCTTGATATTTTATTGAGGGTTTGTTTTTTCTTTCTGAAATTTTAGGCACAGAATATGCAAATGGAGGGCACAGATAACCTGAGATCATTGCCAAATACTTCTCAAAAAGTTTGTGAAGGGAGTCAAAGGAAGATGTGGTTACTGGGACAAAAGTTATCACTAAAGTCTGAAAGATCTGACGAGAGTATGAAAACTGTCAAGCAAGATCCAGTTGCTAGCCACTTACCATCCATGGCAGGATCCACCTATCCTAATGCTTGTTTTTCTGATGCTTCAGGCAGACAGAATGATACATCAGAGAACATGTCTGTCAGTACTGCTAGTGGAGTGGTTTCAAAGAAAGGTCACCAAGGCAGTAAAAAGGATTTGCAGTTACCTGGCCAGAGTCTTTCTGTTACCTCAGAAGCCCCTTTCAAAAGCAGTGATGGCAGTGATATGTTACCTAATCATCTTCCAACATATGCATCTGGTGCTAAAGATCACGCCATGCAATCTTCTGATGGCATTTTAGAGAATAGTTTGGCAAGGAGAATTGGTGGATCTTCAGCTAGTGCGTATAAAGCACCAGAAGGAAACCGAAGGAATATCAGAGCACTGAAGTTGTCACTGAAATCAGTAAATCCTGAAAAGAAAAATGATGATCAAAATGAAAATATGGCACCAAACCATCTGTCTTCACAGTCAGGATTCAGCAATTTGCAGAAAAGACCCTTAGATGCTGTTTCAAGGAAAAAGTTCAGTGGGGGTCCTGCACTGGTTCAACAGAATCCTAACACTGAACAGCAACTGTCAAACACTAATATGGTATCAAATCAAACTGAACAGCAACTGTCAAACACTAATATGGTATCAAATCAAGAGTGCAATCAAGGTCTAAAGATGCAACGTAGGAGGCTGTCACTGAAATCTGAGCTACCTAGAGTGGACAATGCTTGTGAAAAGGATTCTAAGCCACCCAATCATCCCCTAAGCGATAAGAAACTCAATGAACTGCCATCAGCAGCAGCAATCCCCAAAGGTGAGCCCGTGGCACCCAATGAACTCCCATTGTCGGCACCAGCAGTTCTGAAAAGTCAATCCAAGGCTCTTGGCTTTGCTGGTGGACAGAAAGACTCCAGCTCAGACAATTCCTCCGCCAAAGAAAACACAGTTGCCATCGAGAAGGTCATCGTTTCAGATAGTGAAGACAGCGCGGACGAACGTGAAAGGCCCCCAAGATCAAGGCTATCATTGATGCGGAGACGATTGGCTGGAAAGTTCTGAACCTAGTGTCACCGCAGAACTATTTCTATGCTGCGTTGTAAATTTTTGGAAGACGAGTATTCAAATTTGCTCAAGTAAAATCATTCTTGTGTTTGTGGTAGATCATGCCCTATATGTTATGTGTTAGACAACTCTGTCGCCCTACAACGTGGTGGGGGATGATGCTCTGTTGTGGTGGCATTCCTTGTGTTGGTAACAAAATTTGAAGAACGATTTTTGCCTATGCAATTCAGTTTTAGCAGCTGTGTATGTAATCTATAATGCATTCGACCAGTATTGGTGGTTCTATTTTTTTAATCAGATGTCTCCGAAGGGCATGCACAGTATATAATGGATTGGCTTGCACAAGTTGACAAGAGCCTTCACCTTCTATGGAGTAGCTAATTTTTTACGCTAATAATCTCATTTTCACTGTAGGTTTGGCGCAGAAAAAGCGCTCGGCTAGTAGTACTACATTACCCTGGCACCAGTTACCGAAGAGACGGCGGTTCCGTATCTCCCTAAACTGTCGCACGGCGCCGCTCGTGGGTCTATTCCCTGCGCAACCACCTCCACCGGCGCCGTGCTCTCCGTCCCGGCACCGGCAGCCGCCCGTCGACCGCCGCCCCGGTCACCGCCCTCAGCTCCGACAGCGGCCTCCGCCGCCCCCGGCATTGCCCCCCTGACTCCGCCGCCCACGGTCGCTGCCCCTGGCGTCCTCCGCCCCCGGCCGCGGCGCCCCTCACTTGCGCATTTGGATCGTGCGTGCGCCTCTCTCCGGCCCTCCGCCGTCCAGGACTCACCGCCCCGGCCCCGCGTTGGCCACAGTACCTGACCTAAGCAACTGCCCCGTTCTTCCATCTCCGGGCGCAGTACACTCTATAAGCCATGGCCACTGGAATGATGTGGTCCTTGTACTTGCTTGTGTGCTTCCAGTTCGGTCCGGCACGCTCGGAGTCGCGGGTACTTCAGAAGCTCGACACCGGCGGCGGTGGCGGCGAGATCGGTGAGGCGGCCTCATGGCTTGAATGATTCTGCGTTTCTACCGTGCCGGTACGCTGACAGTTTCCCTTGCAGCTCGCGCGCCGGGCGCTGCCCGTGCTCTCTCGTCCCCTTCCATCGCGCACGATGGCCGCCTCGTCGCCTGCTCCGGGAAGGACCTCCTCGGGTTTGAACCCAACGGGTCCTTCGCCTGGATCGTTCCCCTCGGCCACATGTGCAACGACAGCATCAGCCCTGTATTCGAGGGAGAGCAGGTAACCCATCGTTACAAACTAGGTGGCCCGTGCGTTGCAACGGGAGACAAACAAAATTTTTAACGCCAACACAAAGAGGAGCACTCATTCAGCACAGGGCACAGCAAGCGAAAAAGAGACATGCATGTCCTAGGAAATGCTGGCTTGTTTTCCTTTCAAGCGAGCCCATGAGAAACCATCTTTGTTTCATTACAACTATCATATCTGATAGCTGGGCAGACAACTGAAAATTGACTTTTACAAGAAATCAGGAATGTATGGGTGGTTTTTTTTTCCAGGGCTATCAAAAACTCATCAACCACTATTTATTATATCATCATACCGTGCTATCTGTTTTCATTTCATAAAAATGTATAGATGACACAACAATTTTAATGCATTGAAAATTATTGAAATAAGTCTGCAAGACAAAGGGGTTCCCGCGATCTTATACTTCCTCATACAACAACTATCATCTATGTACTGCTAGAGATGTGTAAGCACCATATACAAATCGTAACCTGGATGATCTCAGGCTTTATGCGGCGCTGGTAAATATTCCACACTGGTTTAAATCATCATAAAAAGATTTATCAACTGTATATATATATCAGCATTTCAATTTCTGGAAATACAATCTAGCGTGGTAGCCTTTATATTTCTGAAGCACTTCCGCTAAAGCACCATCTTTCAAAAGCATCTCTGCAGGCACCTAGGACTAGGAGGATCTGAACTCAGTCAGGGTAGCATGCTTGATCTCTTGTCAGCTGTAAACTAAGAAGTAGAATTAAGAAGGAAAAGAGCCCCACATGGTAGGAAGAGTTATAGCACAATGGTGTAGATCGTACATTCCTACTCCAAGGCTCAGCAAAAGGCAAGTAGTCAGATGCTGCTAAAAGAGTCAAAGATCATTGTAATAGACCTGCTGGATGCACACAGACATTTAGGATCACATCGATAAATGCTTCACTGTAGTTTTGAACCCTGGAAATAGTTGTAGTTCAATTAGAGGTACATTTATGATTGACCATACATCCACAGTGTGCCGCCGCGAGGAAGCAGCGCCTCGAAGCGGTTCTGGTACTCCGCTACCGAGCTCGTCTGCTTGCACGTCATCAGCTCACCAAGGGGGTTGGAGCGGATCGGCGGCCCAAAGCGGAGGTTGAGGAGCTCAGAGAAGCGGCGCCAAGACGGCGTACCCTCGTCCTGCTGCACTTGGAGGAACCACATCTGGGCGCCGTCTTCAAGGTTGTATGACGCCATCCAAACTTGCTCCTCGGCTGCAATACGCTGTTGATGAAAATACGACTCACATCGGTTAAGGAAGGCCAGCGGATCGGATTTCCCTTCGAACTTGGGGAAGTCCAGCTTCTGGAACCGAGGTGGGCGGTCCCTGTGGTGGTCACCGTGGCCCGAGCCTCGCGATCCTGAGCCGGAGAACGCCGGTGGCTGCGCCTGCTGAAGAGCGGCGACCTGTTGTTGAAGGTCGCTGATGGTGGCGTTCATGGTGGTGGTGTGGGCCTGGATCATCTTGGCCAGGTCGGCGGTGGACGGCTCAGCCATTGGCAAGGAAGTGGAGGCTGCTGAGGTGGTGGGTGAAGCAGGGGTTGATGGTGCGGTGGCTGCAGGGTTGGAGTGCGGGGCGGAGGTGGAAGAAGATCGCCGGCTAGCTGATACCAAGTTGTCAAGGACCTGGGCTCCTAGAGTTGGAGGTCCCTGACTTCTTAGCTGATAACTCGAACCAGGTAATGGAGGTGCCAGGGTTTTTGCCTGACTACCACAGCAGGGGGTGAGATTAAGAGTAGCAGATAGAGGGGAAGATTAGGAAATAACTTCTTTCTTACTTCCTTCAACGAGTACAGGGGTACATATAGGAGCTCTGCTCCATTGCTACTTGCGCCAGCCATTAACCGCTAGCTGGCTAATTAATCCCTTAATCTCTTCAACTTCTACTTAATTGCCTTAGAGACTGCAGCCCCTCCAGCCGCCTAAACCTCCTTGGGTTCTTCCAGGCCATGCGTCCCCTTGGGGACTGCCCTGGCTGCACCTCGTGTTCGAGGCCGGCGGCTGTACTGTCGGCCCCACATGACAGGTGTGTGCAAAAAATAAATGCAAGCAATCTGTCAGAAAGGAAAAGGTGTATACTATACATACAACACGAATCAAAGGAAATATTTGATTTTGTTTTGCCAGGGGCCAATAGCGAACTCAGTTACATCCATTTTGGCAAAATATGAACCATTTGTCGAACAACAATTTAATTATTGTTATGATAGACACATCAACTTTATGGGAATTCTACAAAGGCGGTGGAGGAAGGAGATAATACAACCATGGCAGGAATGCACAAACCTGGGTTGCACAAATTGACGAACGATCATTTTGCAAATGGTGCTTTTATCAACCTGAATATGTACCCAGCAACACTTGCACCTGAAACTGCATTAGGATGTCACAAACAATTGAAACCATTTTGGTACACAGGTTGGCCCTCTTAAGGTTTAAGTTCAACGGAAACTTTCTAGAAATCATGACTGACATGGAATAGGATGCACCTGTTTCTTGAAGCGGGTCTAGATGGATCTTCATATAGTTGGATAGCATAATACTGTATCACAGAGTCACTGCCATTTAACACCAGCAGAGATACATTGTTAGTATATATGAAATGCAAATCCTGGAATCTAATCTTCTCCTTTTTACCGAGGAAACATGAGCCAATGAGCGTGATATCTGATGGTCAGTTGTGTTGGACTGTTGGCTCTTGTCTGTTCAAATTAATTGTGTGGGTTGTGCTGCAGGTGTATCTGGTGGCAGATGACAAGGTCATAAAGGTCACGCCACAGAACGTGCACACTGCCGAGCCAGCATTGGAGGTTTTCTTCAGCCACAATGCGACATCAGGGAGGTCCGAGGAGATCATTGGCCTGGCCATCAGTGGCAGCTACTCGTCTCTCTTCCTCACCATCAGAAAACGGGGACTATTCGCCTTCTCGCTCCGAGGCGAGCTCCAATGGAGCATTGGGCCTGCACTTAATTTGTTCGATTACCGTCTTGGCTGCAAGAGAAACGTCTCTGGCTGCTATTTTGATTCAGCTCCTGTTCTTGATCAGTGCGAGGGGGCACTTTATGTAAGGCCCATACCAGTGCATATTATTATGGTTTACACTTGCCATAGTTTTGTCCACTTTCTGTACTAGCTCATTGTGCAACAACCATGTTCTTACAGATATCGAACACTGAAGGCCAGCTCTATTCCCTATACATTGACAACCGTGGGATCAGATGGATCCAAGACTTGAGTTCACACGGCAAAGTGATGACAGTTGCACCAGGAAACAGTGCGTGCCTATACATCGTCTTTCCACGGAAGTCTATCGTGGTGGGGATTGATGTTTCGACAGGAAGCATTTCTTGGACGCAGAATATTGGTCCAATCAGTATTGAGAAAAACTTACCAACTGTCGATTCCAATGGTAAAGAAATATCTTATATCATTATAAACCGGGCCATATTCATTTTCTAATCATTTTCAATGAATTTCACTGTATCAATAGTATTTTTCTGTACCGCTATTCTCTTAGAAGAATTAGTTTAGTCGGTCATCCATTCTTCTTGTTTGCTACAAAGTCATCAACTTGCTGTCTCAAACAGTTTTGACCACACCTATGTACTAGTTTGCTATATGCTGTCCTTTTCTATTCGAGTTTGCTGTATACTTCAGTAATGGTAATATTTTCAATTTATGTAACAGGTTGGATGTCAATTGGTTCGCTAGATGGGACC